AGCATTCTCAACTCTTCCTAGCCTTATCTACACCCCAGCAAAGTTCTCAGCCCATTGTTAATTACTTGGTTTACACATCTGTCTCTCCCACTGGACTGTAATCCTTGAGGGCAAGGATCATGTTTCATTTGTTTAGTAAAGTAACCAGGACAGGGTAGGGGCTCAGTGAATACCTGCTGCGTGTGTAGGAAACCCCTCACTGAGTTATAAATAATCTGACCAGGATAACCTTCTGATTCACCATTGTAGCCCACACTCCACCTAAAAGAGTATATTACTGTTTCTTCCTGGAATAAGTTGGAGTATAAACAAATTGAGTTATGCTTTCCAGGGTGGACAACTGCTTTTAATGAATGGAGGCAATGCCTTCAAATGTAATCAGGAGCCCACTTCCCCCGACTCTGTACAAGCTTTGCATAAAGCCTCAGCAGCAACCCTCCTTGCTTCCTTCCCTTCACTTGGCAACAGCCAAAACCTTCCTCAAAAAGCAAAGACGACCACTGTGTCTTACAGTCAACCTAAGAGCCCTCTCTATTCAACATATACACTACTCTCAAGAGGTCTGGAAAATATTTTACCTTTAATAGTATCCATGCCCCAAGAAGCTTCTCCAGGCCTAAGTGTAACTTTGCTATTCCCTCTAACACGAAGCATGATATAAACGGTAAACCTTGCAGACCAAAATCAGTCTCGCAAAAGCCCACACAACCAAAGATGATGCCTGTGAAATTCTGTGAACAGCCTTCCATGCTTTTCAAAAAATTGCAAGTATATTCCCATTCTTCCATAAATGGAGCCTCATTCTGCATACTGTTGAGAAACCTTTTCCTTTTTCCAGATTCCTAAACTTCAGCGGTTCACAATGTCCTTACTGCCTCACTACCTCTGACAGCCAAGAGAGATCCACTTGTTAAAATACCTGGATCCAAACAACCTAGTAACGATTTACACAAGAGCAACTTAACAGCCCTTTGAAAAAACAATACACAAAAACTGAGACAAATATTATTTTAATGTATTAAAATAAAAATAACATTTTTACTTATCCAGAATAACCACAATTACTTATGACACCTGTTGCGCACCGCGTTTCTCAAATCTTAGAATCAGACAGGACATCACCACTCTTATCTCTGGGACTACCTAATTCTTGCCCAGTATTTAGCAACTGCTAAAACCCCAGCTTCACAAAGATATGACGTCATCGAAAGGGATCTGGCGCCATCTAACGCTGAAAAGAAAGCTGCTCAATCGAGTGGTTCCCAAGGCATCAGGCAGATAGATGAACTGTGCCTCTCCTGAAAATGTAAAAATCTCCCACTGGACCCCTGTGGGTGCTGCGGTGCCTCAGGAGTTTGCAAACAGGGAGTCAGGGGACTTAACCTATTAAGAAAGTTTTATTCTAATAAACCCTGTGTTATTAAATAGAATTCCTATTAGTAACTACTTACATGACCTGTAATTTCAAACAGTATCATTTACAAACAACGTTGCAGTAAAAATCCATGTATATTTTTATGTACCTGTCCAACTATTTGTTCACCCATTTATTTGAGTAACTTTTACTACATGCCTATTATGTGCCAGGCACTATTTGAGATGCTGGAGGAAGAGAGGTGAATAACAAAGTCCTACATGAAATTTACATTCTATTCCAGAAGTAAGAAACAAAAAAACTAATCCTTTCAAGTACTGACCAGCTATGAAGTAAAATAAAGTCAAGACTGGGGGTTAGAGATGCAAAAAGATGCTACTTAAACAGGGTGGTTGGGGAACAGCAGCTAATGATACGACATCTGAGCAGAAAACATACTGACACAAAGGAACAAACCTGCAGAGGTCTGAGCAATGTTTTTCTAAGCAGCAGGAACAGTGAATAATGAATGAGGCAGGAATGCGCTCCTAGTTCTGGATCAACCAGCAGGTCAGGGAAGTTAAAAAGCAACAAGGAGATTGGGAATGAGATGGAGAGGTCAGCAGGGATCAGAAAGCACAGGACCTCACAGAACAGAGTAAGGAGTCTGGAACCATTGAAGAGAATTCCATGCAGGGGAGAGATATGATTAAAAGATCTCTCTAGTTGCTCTGCAAACTCTAACAAACAACTAGGGTCTGGGACCACTGTGGTACCCCAAGGGAAAGATGATGGTGGGGTGAACCATGGTAGCTAAGCCAGTCATAAAAGACTGGATTCCACATTTTGAAAGGCAGAACCAACAGGCTGGCAGACAGACTGAGCAGAGGCTGGGAGAAAGGGAGGAGTCAAAAAGATGGCTTTTGGGTTTAGGGCCAGAGCCACTGGATGCACTGTGGAGCCCTCTGTTGCTTGCTGAACCAGGCAAGACTGGGGGAGCGGCATACTTGAGGAGAGACATTAATAGTCTTTTATTTAAGGATAAATTTTTGTAAGTGCAGCACTGGGCCAAATAATATGCATATTAAACAACCCATACTGTCAGACTGTCCTCCAACAAGCTTATACACCAATCTATCCCTACCAAAAATTGTGTAAGCATGCCTATTTCCCAGTGCTTTTGTCAACAGGGAAAAATCAGATAAGAAAAAAAAAGTTTGTCTTTAATTTGCATATGTCATTAGTAAGCTAAATATTTATAATGGCCATTTGTAGTACTTCTACGCACTGCCTATTCGTATCCTTGATCCTCTTATCTAGATTTGTGCCTTCCTGATTTTAAAGTGTCCCTTGTACATTAAGAAACCTAACCTAGTCCATCACGTTGCAAATACGGTTTCCCAACCTTTTTTTCAGCTGTTCACGGTGTTCCTGACTAACAGAAGTGGCTCTTATTTTTACGTAGTCAAGTTTGCCTTGCTCTTCTTTGTAGATAAAATGCTTAGCTGGGTGCCTATCACATAACAGGCACTCAATGAAATTTACCCATAATTCACTCATTCCTACAAAGGGTTTTTCCCCTGGTATCAGGATCCAAAAGCTGTCTATACTTTTTGAGTGCTTTAGTTTTACTTTTTAGACGTCAACCTCACCCCATCTGGAATTTATTCTGTGTGGTCTGAGTTCAGGAAGTTCTCATTCCTGACACAACTTTCCTATAGCTGAGCCCCTGCCTCTAGCAAAATTGTCTCCATCCACAAACAGAGTTATTCAATTCCATTCTTTCCAGCTCACTGGCTTCCTCCAGTTCATTCCACAAAGGAGTTTGATTTGGCCATAGCCCTCCCTGCTCCCTGGTCTCTCCTGCTTCCACTCTAAGTCCTCCTCCCCAGTCAGTTCTTCATAGAACAATCAAAGTAATAATTTTTTAAAAAACGTAAATTTGATACCACTCTCCTGCTTATAATTCTCCAATGGCTTTCTACTGAAAACGGAATGAAATCCGGATTCCTTACCATGATTTACAATATCCCACCTGGCCTGCCCCACCTCATGCCTCTCCAGTAATGGTTTAATAACACTCTCCTTCTCACCACTAAACCCCAGCCACTGTGGTCACTTTTCAGCTTCCAGGGCACACCCTCCCTCAGGCCTTTTGCACTTACTCTTTTTTCTGCCTGAAAAGCTCTTGTCCGAGAACCTATGGCCTAGGAGACTGGCTGCTTCTCATTATTCGGGTAATGTCATCTCAGGCCTTTCTAGACCCAGACACCATCCCATCTAAAGAAGCCTCACTTCATTCACTATCCATCGCATAACACCGTTTCACTTTATTCAAGGCACTTGCCCTTAACAGAATTATCTTGTTCATTTATTCGTGTTTATGGTCTGTTTTCCCTGCCCCTTCTTAAAGAAAGTGCTCTAGATTCTAGAAGATAGGGTCCTCGTCTTTTTCAGTTCTGTATCCCCAGCGTCTGTTCTGCCTATCGCGGAGCAGATACTCGTTAATATTTGTAGCAGGGGGAAGGAAAAAAATTGGGGGGCTCAACTTCTCATCCAAACTTGTAAAGGCCTCTTAGCATTCGTGTCATCTCATTTAACGTTGGTGACTGCGGTGTGGAACCAATCAACCCCCTTCTCTCCCTCCTGCTCACCCTCCAGCCCCCACCCCACCCTCCAGCCTGTTGCCAGGCCCCCAGCTCGGACACAGCGCTAAGCTTGCTGATCCCCTAGGAAAATTTAACTCTGGCTAGCAGAGGTTGGACCCAGCACTGCCTTGGCGCCACTAACCCATCTGGTCCCCTTGGGCAAAAGAAGTGCCAAGTCTCCACGGCTATCGTCAAGCCCCGCCCGCGACGCGGGAGGGAGGAGCAGTGGGAGGGCAGAGCCGCTTACCAGTTCATCCGGACTGAGGACTCCGAACTGCACTCTCTTGATGGTGCGCAGCGGGCATGCGCTGTCCCCGGAGGGGGGGCCACCCCCGTGCATCGCGGAGGCAGGCGCGCTGCGCAGGCGCAAACCTCAGTACAAAAAGCCTGCGCCGCCTCCACCTAGGCGCTCAGACCCCGTCCGGGCGGCCGCCGGGAAGGACCTCCCCGAGTTGGGAGGAAAAAGCCGGAGGAGGGAAAGGTGGGGGAGGGAAGGAGGCGGGGAAACGAAAAGGGGTGAAAGGAGCTCTCCTCCGCCTTTCCGGAGATTTTTCCGTCTCCCAAAAAGAAAAAAAAGAGGAAGGGAAAGGAAAAGGTTTCGGGGGAAGAAGAAGAAAAAGGGAAACGAATAAATAAGTAACCGGGTTCCTGAACGGCAGAGGTTACGGCAGTTTGTCTCTCCCCCTTCCGGGAGCCGCCTTCTTCTCCAACCGTCCCGGCCGCGCTCTCGGCGCTTCTGAGGAGAGAACTGGCCGAATGACGCCCTTTATAGATTCGCCCCAGCTTCCCCCGCCCCTTCCTTTCCCGCCCTCCTTTGCGCTACGGGGCCGCCTGCGCCGGCGTGCACGGGGCGCGCGCTCGAGTCGTTGATCGTCGCTCCTCAGCTCCCTGGCTGGGTGACCTTTTGAAATGACGTTGGGGAAGGGAACTTTTTTACCCTTCCGCCTCCCTTCGCTACTCCCTTCAGCACCGAGGTTTAAGGTTTAAAGATTCAAGGATAAATATAGGCCAGTTTTATTCTAGTTTGGCGTGCGGTTTCATCTTTAGCTAAAGTTTCTTATTAATATAATCCCCCACGCTGGAAAATGGTCTGTTCTGAGATTCTGTAATGAAGGAGGCGGGGCCGGTCGGATCCTCCCAAGTGGGTTCCCGGAGTGGGGGAGTGCGGGGGCCATTCTTGATCATGAATATGCAGTAATCTCTCTGAATATGCAAGAACAGATCAAGATGGCGAGGCCGATTGCTGGTCCGGAAGTAGCTGATAGCTGTCTAGCTGCCTCCTGGGACGGGTGGGCATCTCCTGGCCTCTGATGTAGGGCGCTGTATGGAGTTCTGGTTCTGGATCCCCGACCTGAGCCGCTCAGAGGCCTCAGCTCTGCGGCCTGCTCCGGAAGGACGTTGGCCACCGCCGTCCGGGAGAGATCACGGGACCGCGACAATCCAAGAAAAGCAGATTAACCATTGGGCGGGACACAGAAGTCCTGAGGGACTAGGGGTCAAGGCATCTGAACATTAGGAAATCCTCCCCCTCCTAGAGTATTTCAAAAATAAGATGGGGCGGAAGGTGCGGGGATCCCAGGGGATTCTCCAAGCCGGGGGAAAGGGGGGAGTAGGACTTCCACTGTCCTTCCAAAGCAGAGATGACACCAACTGCACAGCCACATTCAGAGTGATCCTTGTTTGATGTCAATATCACGTCACCACCCCAAGGCGAGTAGGTATAACCACGAGGAAGGGAAACCATCGCTCAGGGAAAGAAAAGCACACTCCCTTCCCCCAGCGCAGCTGCTTGCTCCGTTTGCCTGAAAGCCCCAAGCACTCCAGCCCCAAAGCTCTTCTCTCTGCTGCCCAGGGGAAAATCCTCTCCGTGTTTTATGGCCTGCCTGCCTCAGCCCCTTCCTTGGACCTGCTCCTCAGACCTTCCTTCAAGCCCCAGCCTAGACGCCAAATGTGTTGGTCTCCAGGCTTATTACAAGTCTTCTCGGCAGTCCCTCTCCACCAAGTCCCCAAGTCATCCTTGACTCAAAGGGGTATCTCTCTCCCACACCAGTTCTTTCCTAGTCACTTGTTCTCCCATGTTAGTATTCCAGTTTGTCCTTCTATTTACCCAGCCCCCACCCCCACCCCCAGGCTCTCAAGTTGGATCTCACTTCTCCACCTGCCCTTCCCTCTCACAGCTGAGGTTCTGGGCAGTGATAATGGCGATGCTGCCCAAAACAACCCCTGCCCCCATGATGTCAGAAGGTGCCACGGTCTCATAGAGCACATAGTACTGCAGCATCAAGGCCACCACCACCTCAGAGTGCAGGACAGCACATACCAGGGCGGGGTGGGCCTTAGTGACCGCATAACTCACACACACAAAGGAGACTAGGGCAAGAATCCCCACTGCCCCCACACAGCTCCAACTCAGAGGATCCTTGGGCAGCACGGGGGTCTGCAGCATAAAGAGGCCTGGCCCAGAACCCACCAGCCCCACCAAACCAAACAGGAAGGCCACCGTTGGAAGGCAGGAGGGAAAGTTGAGGGAGCGATACACCAGGAGCCCCAGTGACAGTGCCAGGCCACCTAGGAAAGCAAGCACATAGCCTAGGGCGGTGTAGAGGCCCGTGGTCCCCTCCTGCAGGGTCCCTAGTCCAGGTCCCACAATGATGATGAGTCCCAGAGTGCTGCCCAACAAGCCACACCAGTCATAGCCGCTGAGACGCTGGCTCTCGAGGCAGAAGGCGAGGAGAGCAGAGCAGACAGTGGAAGAACCTTTGCGGACGGTGGCAGCATTGCCAGCAGGCACCACCTGAACTGCACTGTAGGCACATCCGATGCTGAGGACGTTGAGCAGGGCGTGGAGGCAGGCCCGACCTCGGACATCGGGAGGTCCTAAGAGGGGGTCACCACGCAGTTTAAGTAGCAGGGCAATGGGGAGGTGGAAGAGGCATCGACAGATGAGTAGCTCCAGCGAGGGAAAGTGGGAAGCCTGGTAAGCCATACGGGAGAAGGGGCCCACGAAGCCAGCAGGTAGGCCCCCACCCAGCAGGGCCACGAGCAGCCCCTTGGTGGCATCGGAGGGCCGGCAGCGCTGGTGCGATGGGAGACTGGGCGGAGTAGAGGGCGGTGATGGCTGCGTGAAGTCAGGCAGGTTGAAGTAGGGGTGACTGCCAGCCTGTTAGGGAGAAAGGAGCTCGGGCATTAGGGCAGCCATAGTCCAGGGAACATGGGACAGGGCACATGCCAGGCTGAGTTCTGGGACCCTGTGGGACAGTAAAGGGGCAGGCTGTCTTGCTGAGGAACTCTTGGGAGCTAGTCAGGGCCTGAAAGATGGATGAGGTGGTACAGTGTGGGCCTTGAGTCGCTAAAGCAGGAAGCAGGGAGTGAGCAGTCCTGGAGCATCGTGTTTCTTGGGGTAAGTTGTTCCTGGGAGGAGAAAAAGAGGACCCAGGGATGCTCTGTCGGTTTGAGGAAGGGGAGGCGGCCTCAGGTGCTGTGTGTCCATGTGATGTCACGGGTTCCAGAGACATCTAGGAACACTGTGATGAATTTCACTTGTGGGCATCTAGGAAAGCTGGGCAGTCTCAGGGAAGGAGGGGAAAGGGAGCAGCCAGGAGCTACAGAGAGGGGGGCCCTGCTCCCCTGCCCGCCACACTCACCATCTTTCCTTGGACTTCCTCCTCTCCTGACTCAGGGACCCTCGGCCCTTCAGAGCTCCAGCCATTGTGACCTGGTTGGAGGGGTTCTTCCCTGGAACCTTCCTGAGGTGGGGGTGGAGGTTCTTCCCTGGAACCTCCCTCAGGTGGGAGTGGGCCTGTTTTCTCCTTTCCAACTCTGCTTTATTTCTCTGTGACCCCAAAGTCTGTCTGGTTCCTTTTTTTTCCTCTTTTCAACCATGTCTGTAGTGAGACGTCTTTGGTTCTTAATTATTTGTTTTGCCCTGTTTCAGAAAGCTTTTATGGACAGCACCTCTGAGGGCCAGCTCCTCCATCTCCTGAGTTTTGAATTTTTGACTACCAGGGAGGAGTCTTCAGGACTGTCCCTCTGGAGTTTCAGGAATGTTTCTTTTCTGTGTGCTTCCACCTGGTGTTGTTAGTGCTGTCCCTGGGAGGTCCACACCAAGGCCCCTGCATTTATGCAGAGTACATGGATGTGGTGTTTCAGTCTCTGGAAACAAAATAGCAAGCAGGTGTGTTCCTCTGCACTGGTAGTCATTTACGTGTACCTGTTCTGTAGGTCTGGCAGGGGTCCCTGTGCATTTCTGGGGAGGGAGTGGGTGTGGGTGTTTGCCCAGGGCTGCCCCTGCGAGTATGTTGAGTCTGGGTCTGCGGGTCTCACTGGGCCAGATTGTGAGCCTGCCACGTTGTGTGCCTGCGGAGAGGGTGTGCGTGTTCTAGGCGGCGGTGTGCACCACAGAGTGAAGCGCTGCAGGGGGGCGGGAGGGGAGGGTAAGCCCCTTCCCAGAGTATAGTCAGGCCTGCAGCCCGGTTTGGTGCCCACTCGTCCGGCGGCCTTGCGTGGCCCCGGCCCCTTCCCAGGATCGGTCCGAGCGCAGGCCGTCGGGCGCGCTGGCGCCCCAAGCCCGAGCCAGGAGCCTGGTGTCTGTGCCGGCTGCGCTGCGCCGGCCTCCTCTCAGCGGCAGCGGCGGCGGCGCTGGGGGGGTACTGTTTCCGGGGGTGGAGGAGCCAACAGCCGGGCCCCCTCCCCGCTGCCCGGTGCCGCGGGGGCCCGGGCCGCGCCCCGAGCCGCGACCGCTCCCCTTTGGGGTTGACCTGGGGGCTCAGGGGTCGGGGGCTGAGTCTGGCCCCGCCTCCAGGCGCGCATGGCGCTGGGGGGCGACTAAGGGGGCCCGGGTACGGCGTCCGACTCGGCGGCGGTCGGGGCGGGGGAGGGGGGTGGGTGCGATCGCCTGGGGCCTTGGAAAGGGCCGCACTCACTCCCCACTTGAAGGGTTAATTCTGCAGCCCGGTGTCCCCCTCCCCCCGTGGGGCAGGTTGGGGGTGGGGTGGGGCTGGTGTGAGCCCGGGCCGGCGCTGCAAGCTGCTGGGAGGGCGATGGCGTAGGAGCCAGGCAGAAGGGGGGGGAGGGGTGGGCCGCCGAGCGCCCCAGAGTTGGGGTGTGCGGGGTGTGCAAGGCGAACAGGGGCCCCGGAGCCGCTGCGCCGTCGGGGCAGGGTTGTGGCTGCGAGTCCTGGAGCTTGTGTGTCTCCTGCTGTGTTGTGGGGCAAGGTAAACCTCTCTTGATCACCACTGTTTGCTGGTCTGGTAGCCAGGGGTCCAGCAGGGCCCTCCCAGGCCCTGGGGACACAAAGCCAGATGGAAGGGTATCCAGTGTTGTGAGGCAGAATGACAAGATGTGGCCCCGTGGCTCTGGGTGACAGGTTCGCATTTGAAGCTGCGCACAATACCTGCGGAGTTTGTTAGGTGTGGGGTTTTATGTATGTTTCATATCGGGGTGTGTTTTCTTGCACATATGTGCCTGTCCTGCACGCATGAACTATTTGTGAACTGTTGTTTTCTGCAGAGCTGGTGAGGGGTAAGTGCTGTGGAGGGCACCCGAGTGCTGGGTGTGTGTGCTCAGTTGGAGGGGGCAGTTGTGTACCCTTGAGTCAGAAGGTGTTAGGTCTGGTCTGGTTTCTGCGGCCCTGCTGAGGTGTGGTCCAGTCTTGGCGAAGATGGCCTACTGGATGGGTTTGTGGGTCCGTGTGACGATCGGGTGGCATGGAAGGGGGGGTGCATATCTAGAACTCAGGTCCTGCAGGCCCCGTGGGAAGTGAGAACCCCCGGGGTGTGTCTCAGGTACCCGTGGGGCAGCTGGTACTGGTGCCTGGGGTTCTGGGTGGAATGTGCAGGTTGTGTTTATGGGATCACGGGCAGTCGAGTGAGGGGAAGGTTGTGTGTTTGCAACATTCCCTCCGGGATTCTTTTGTGACGTTGTTTGTGGGAGCCTTTCGTGCTGTCGGGCCAGGAGGCAAGCTGGTCAGAAAACACTTGTGGGGAGGGAGGTGGCGTGACAAGGGCAATGTGGGCCTCAGACTCCGGAGATCAACCGCGAGCTGTGTGTGCGTGCCTGCTCCTGCGTGTTGAAGTGGCTGTGTGGGGCCGCTCTGGGTATGTGTTATGAAGAAGGCGGGGAGATAAATATGGGGCAGAGCAAGGGCAGCAGGCGGGAGGCCTGGGTGTTGTCGGGTGGCCCGGCTAGTCCATGCAGGGTCTGCGTGCTTGCCCCTCGCCGGCCCGCCCAGCGCGTCAGGGTCACCGGGAGGAGAGGCCTGGCGGCTGCAAGGAAACTGAGCTTGGACAGAGTGGCTCCTTGGCCATGTTTACGTAAAGGCCGGGTGTGACTCTTGTCACTGAAATGGAAAAAAGAAACACGAAGTTTTCAGTCTCCTCCTCCTGCTTCACCCTCTTTCTGTCCCCCTTGTTGGTATCTCTGCTTTTCCGTCTCTTCTGTGACGCACACTAGGCCACTCCTGCGACTGTGGAAGGGTCTGGAAATGGAATTTGCTCGCTAGGCAGATTCCTCAGAACAGGTTTTCCTCACCTTTGGGGCCCTGGCCCTTCTGTAGGGGTGTGTGTATGTGTGTCTGTGTGTTCCAAGTGTGCACACCCTGTGGTCTGTGCCTGGCCTGGCTGGGAGGGGGCATGTGCATGGGCGCTGGGTGGACGCTATGGCTAGGCCCCCTGCCCGGGGGCGTGCTGGCTGCTGTGTCAGGCCTGCACGACAGGTGCACCATGGCCTGGTGAAGGGGAAGGAGGCCTGGATGAGAATTGAGGAGTTCAGGCCCTACCACTTCCTTGCCAGCACTTTCCCTAAAGTGACCCTCAGTTCCTCATCTGTAAAATGGGGCTAATCACTTACCCTGTCCATCTTCCAACAGGGTTGTGGTATGTAGCACATGGAAAACATACCTGGAAAGTAGCTACAGTTTGGGGACTATGCCTGTGCCAGCCACTGTCAGCCCTCTGCCAGCACTGAGCCCCTTTTTGGGGCTTGGTTAATAATAACAGCCGGAAACACTTATTGAACACTTACTATGTACTAGGCACTGTTCTTAATGCTTTTATATATGATCACTCATTTAGTCTTCCCAATGCTGGATGAAAGTGGGAGTTCTAGTTACTTCCCTTTCTCAGATGAGACAGCCGAGGTCCAGAGAAGTCATATGCCCAAAGCCATTTAGCTAATAAGAGATAAACCTGGATTTGAACCCAGGCAATCAGACTCCAGATCCTGGGCTCTTATATGCTGTCCCCTGCTGCCCTTTGGAAGCTTGTGGTTGGCTTCTCCACGCATCCCCGTCCACATACACACACACACTTCTGCCCAATTTCTGCAGAACTTAACACCTGCAATAATTCATTTCAGAAGACTGGTATGTTTCAACAGTGATTCAGGGAGTCCCTGCCTGGGAGAGAGAACTTAGCATCCGCTGCTGGGTGCTGGCCACATGGGCACAAAATGATGAAGTGGGTGAAGGAGAGATTATCCTTGTTCTTAGGGTCAGGGAGGACCAAGACAGAGGTGGCATTTGAGGTCAATTTCAACATTTTGGAGGGATTTGGAGAAGAGGCTGGGCAAAGTTTTTATTTCTGGCAGGAGAACCAGCAGAGGCAGAGGCCTGGAGGTGTGGGAGTGCTGAGGCTGGAGAGCACACCGGAAGCTGGAGGGGAGAGTCACTGCAGGCAAGAGGAGAGAGGAAGATGGGGACTGGACACCTGAATGCCCGGCTGGTGAATTTGAGCTTTATTCTGGAGTGGAGGCTCGAGAGGGGTTCAGAGCCCAGGAGTGACAACGCCTGAGCTCCTTCATGGCTGTTGATTCTCAGTGAGAAGAAGCCCGGGTAGTAGATGCTAAGACCGGAAGCAGGGGAATATCTGTGAGCCCTGGCCTTGAACCGTGAGACTGTTAACAAGGCCTTGAGCTAGTTTGGGGGCCAGAGGTAGGACAGAGGGGAAGCTTCCAGAGCCATTTCCCAGGCTAGGCCGCAGATCTGACCAGACTCAGTGACGGCTAGATGTGGGGAGCAAGGGCGAGGGAGGAGTCAGACTTGACACAGTTAGCCTTTAGCACATGAGCTCCTGCGTGCGTGCGTGCGTGCGTGCGTGCGTGTGTGTGTGTGTGTGTGATGGTTCTGGCAGTCTGCTAGCTGGCAGTCTCCAGCCCCCTTCAGGCAGGACCTGGTGGTGTGGCAGGAGGGGAGGGGAGGACCCAGCATCTGGGTTCACACGGGCCTGGATGTGAATTCTGACCCTGCTGTTCACAAGCTGTGTGACCTTGAGCAAGGTAAATCCTTCTATGAGCCTCAGTTTCCTCACTTGTAAAACTGGGATCATGTAAATGCCAACTTGGAGTGCCTGAGGAAACCATTAAATGAGGCGATGCATGTAAAGCCCTAGGGGTAAAAAACATAGATAAATAAAAAATAAAGCCTTGGAGGTGCATTAGGCAAAACACAAGTGACCCCGAAGCGCTCAAGTTACACTCGTCACCCCCAGCTCCTGGCCAACTCAGTCCTGGCCTGAGGATGGTGTCCTTCCTAAAGGTGGACACAGTTCAGGCAGGCTTTAAGAAAGCAGGTTCATGGAGAAGGAAATGGCAACCCACTCCAGTATTCTTGCCTGGAAAAGTCTATGGACAGAGGAGCCTGGCGGGCTGCAGTCCATGGGATTACATGACTGAGCATGTGTGCTCGAGGGTGGAGGGAGATGGGTTGGTAGCAATAAAGTGGTAGAACTAAAAAAAAAAAAAAGCAGGTTCATTCATTTACCCAGAATGTTTTGAATCCTCCCACCAGGTATCAGGCACTGTTATAAGTACTGGACATAGCAGTGGACAAAGCAGACAAAAATACGTCCGTCCCCTGGAGCTTGCCTTCTAGAGATGAAAGAGCAGTAGTCTTAGTAAATGCCAAGGAGGAAAATAAAGTAAGGGAGGGGAATAGGAAGCTTGGCGAGGTACAGGGCAGCCAGGGAGGGCCTTAGGGGAAGGTGACTTTTGAGTCAAAGCTGAAAGGAGGCGGGATAGCAGGGCGTGAGGCTGCCTGAGGAGAGAATGTTCCAGGCACAGGGAACAGCCGGAGGTGGAGTGTATCTGGTGGCGGTGCTCACATCCCCACCTCAGTCACACCTCTAAGATCACACAGCCAGTTAAGAGTAGAGAAACGGTAAAAACAAATAAAAAAAATAAAACCACAGAGCCATCAGACCTACCATGAAGCCTGATTTCTGCCCCTTTTCTTCACCACTTCCCCCCACCATTTTCCGGGACTGAGTTCCAAGATGATAATAAGAGCTAGCACTTCCTGAGCATCTGCTGCGTGCCCAGCACTCTTCTAGGTGCAGCCGGTCATCAGCTTGTTTATTCTCTACAGCCCTACGTAGTGGGCGCACTTCATTATCCCCAGCTTGTAGACAAGGAAACCGACATACAGAGATGTGAAGTAATTTGCCCAGGGTCCCATAACCAGTGTCTGCTCCACCTCCTATAACCCTGGCAGGGCAGCGGCCAGTGGTGGGGCAGTTGAACTCAGGAGAGCCAGATTCAGACCCTGTTTGGTTAGTAGAGAGACCAGGGACAAATCACCCCGCCACTACGTTCTCTCTGCCTGCAAGTGTGGCATCTAGAGTATTTAAAGCCTCAGTTTCCTCATCTGTACAATGGGGTTGACACAAGCCCCTGCCTCCTTGTGGTCCTTTGGAGTGCTGAAATGAGATGATGCAGATAAAATGCTTAGCGCCAGATTCGACATATAATGTTTATCTCCTCAACGGCAGCTCCAAGTATTATGACGATGATGGTTCTAGGTGATCTCCAAGGGCCAGGACAGCCTTGGACCTCTGTGGTTCTGAAAAGCCTGGATAGGCCTTGTCCAGATATCTTGGCAGTCAGCACACAGCCACGCCTTGGTCGGTACCAAGCCCGTATGGTTGTGCAGATGGGCAGGCCTGGCCAAAGGGTGAGTAGGGGCTGGAATCAAACCTTTTCTTTGCTCACCTGTGCAGAGCTGCTACCTCGAAGAGGCCTTTCCTCTATTTTTTCCCCTTCCTCTAATTTTCACAAAGATCCTAGATGGCCTGGTGGGGAGCCCTCGTGAGTGCTGTTTCAAGAAAAACAGAACTGTTATCCTATACACGCTACTCTGTGTGAGTGCATCACAACACTTCTGATACCAAATGTGTGAAGTTTCTTCCCCCACACTGGCCAATTCTCTGACACTAGCTGTGTGTCCTACACTTCAATTTAATTTTGACACTATCTGCCTGGAGATAGCATCACATTCCACAGGTTAAGGGCTCAGTCCCACAAGACTGCCCCCAATTCAGATACCAGTTTGCAAGCCCAGACCTCCTGTACTGCTTTTTTTTTTTAAACAGCTTTTTAAATTTTTTATTTACTTTTTTTTGGCCACACCACGCTGTGTGTGGGGTCTTAGTTTCCAGACCAGGGATTGAACCCATGTCCACTGCAGTGGAAGCTCAGAGTCCTAACCACTGGACCACCAAGGAATTCCCCAAACCTCCTATACTTTCTGACTGACCAGCAAAAATCAGGCTTTCTGATGACCCGCCTCCTCAGATTTGATAATTTGCTAGGATGGCTTATAGAACTGAGGAAAATACTTGTGTTTATTGGTTTATCATATAATAAAGGATATGATAATAGCCAGATGAAGAGGTCTGGAAGGGTCCTGAGTGCAGGAGCTTCCGTCTCCACAAAGCTGGGCTGTGCCACCCTCTCACCATGGAGATGTGTTTAGGTCCTGAAAGCTCTCTGAACCCCATAGTTTAGGGGTTTTTATGGAGGCCTCATCACATAGGCATGATCAATTATTAACTCAGTCTCCCGACCCTTTCCTCTCCCCAGAGGCAGTGGGGGCTGGGGCTGAAAGTTCCAAACTTCTCATCATGGCTTGGCCTTTCTGGTGACCAGCCCCCATCCAGGACCCCATAGAGAGTCACCTCTTTAGAACAAGAGACACTCCTGTCACCCAGGAAATTCCAAGGGGTTTAGTTTAGGAGCTTGATGTTAGGAACTGGGGTCAAATGTTAGAATAAGATGCCCCTAGCATCTCTTATCTGGAGAAGGAAATGGCAGTCTAGTATCCTTGCCTGGAAAATCCCATGAACAGAGGAGCCTGGCGGGCTCCAGTTCACGGGGTCACAAAGAGTCAGACTTGACTGAGCAACTAAACAGCAGCACTCCTATCACTTGGGAAATTACAAGAGTTTTAGGAGCTCTGTGTCGAGAATGGGGAAAAAGGGGGCTTCCTGGCAGTCCAGTGACTAAGATTTCACACTTAATGCAGGGGACCCAGGTTTGATCCCTGGTCGGGGAACTAGATCCCACAGGCTGCACCTAAAAGATTCCAAATGCCACAACTAAGACCCAGCAAAGCCAAATATATATTTTTTTAAATAAAAAGAATGGAGACCAGGACCAAATACATTATACCTGACCCTTGAATAATGTAGGGGTTAGGGGCATGGACACTCTACAAAATGGAAAATCTAAGTACAGCCTTACAGTCAACCATCCGTATCCAGGGTTCTTCTACGTGCTCAGATTCAACCAACCTCAGATCTTGTAGTATTGTAGTATTTACTGTTGAAAAAAAATCCACATAGAAGTGAACCTACGCAGTTCAAACCCGTATTGTTCAAGGGTCAACTTAATTTCTTATTATATCACAGTATCACAGTGGTAAACATGTCCTTCATCCTGATGTGGTATAATCAAGAATGAAGGCTTTGGAGCCAAACAGATCCCAGCCCTGCGACTAACTGATCATATATCTCTAGTTGCGGCAGACGGGGATACTCTTCCTTGTGGTGCACGAGCTTCTCATTGCGGTGGCTTCTCTTGTAGAGCACGGGCTCTAGGGTGTTTGGGCTTAATTTCTCCTTGGCTTGTGAGGTCTTCCCAAACCAGAGATGGAACCTGTGTCCCCTGCGTTGGCAGGCGGATTCTCATCCACTGCCCCACCAGGGAAGTCCCTGCCTGTCACTTAAAGTGAAGCTAACTGCTAAATTTTAGGGTCGTGATGAGGAGCAAATGAGGTAATGCCAGTGAAGCACTGACACTTGGGGGTCCCTGTTGGCTGGTGGTTGTCACAGAAGGGAGGAGGAGACCTTGTTCTCTTTCCCCATTTTGCAAACAGACATGAACACCAGCCCAGGAATCCTTCCCCTGGATTCCTGACCCACCTGCAGTTCATCAGCTGACGGGGTGGCACTTGACCTACATGTGTGCCTGGCACTCAGGGCTGTTAGAAACTCTGATTCTCATCCCTCTGTACCTTCTCCTCCAGGAGAGGACTGAGGGCCGCCTTTTGGCTGAAGAGAGAAGGCCTCTTAGTCCAGACAGTATGAGTAATAAATAGGAAGAGAGCATTTTGGGGGGGTAGGGTGGGAATTGCATGAGGAACTCCTGACGCAGGACACCTCGGAGGTCATGTGTGACCCCAGGAGTGTGGAAGGGGAGGGCCCCGAGGCTTTGTGGAGGGTGGACAAAAGGGGCTGAGAGCTCTGCCCACAGGTCAGCAGGCCTGGCTCTGCGAACAGGCCCCACCTGTTATGACCAGCTCTGGGTGTCTTTGGCTCAGTTACTCTATGGCTCTGGAACTGAGATCTTCAACTGAAAATTGAGCCCCCAAAGCTGAGGCTGTGAGTTGCCTTGCGGGCAGTGACTGCCATGGCTCACATTTGGGTTACCTGCTATTCCTTTTGGATGAGCCTCCCAGCAAGAGGTGAGGTAGAGGTTTCATTCCCTGCCCCACCCCCAGTTTTTTTTAAGCCAAAGGCCCAAAGCCACCACCTCTCATAGTAAGGAGGGGGACCCAAGCTTCCTCACTTCCAGTCTGGTGGCCTTCCCAGAGATTGGAGCAAGCTGGCATGTGTGCTCGAGACAGTGGTCTTCAGTGGTCTCCTGGCACCTAGAAACCCTCTCTAAGATTTATGTGATGAAGTCCTCTGCTAATTTGAATATTTAGCAGCTTGGTCCAATGAAAAAGCTCAAACAAATCTATTTTGATATGTAAATAAGACTATTATAATGAAAGACAACATGCAAATCTTTGATTTCCTTTGAGTCCCAAAGATTGGGCTCAAGGGACTTGAGACTGATCCAGCAGGCTTCCCTGGACCTACAGGGTTGAACCGATGTCGCTGGATTATTTTGAGGCAAATTGGGAATATGCAAATTATCTTATTCCTGTACTTCTGGGGGCCAGCAGAACAGGCTTTGCAAAAATCTGTGACATTCTAGGTCCGATTAGAGGCCACTGAGCAAGTAACCTGATGGGTTCCCAGGAGGGTCAGGGTCTCTAGAGCTGCCCAGGCCCCTCTGGCCCTGCATGCGGCACCACTCCCCACTTCCTGGGTCAGCCTCCCGCCCAGTAACCTTCCTGAGGACGCAGTGTCTGTTTCTCCACAGAGGGAAGAGGTGCAGCAGAAGGGACTCTCTGAGCCACCTCCGCTCCACTCCATGTTGGCTGTGCTCTCAGGTGAGACGGGCGAGAGGTCTGCTGCGAGGGAGATTGGGCCTGAGGCTGCAGGCGAGCAAAGCAGCCATATCCTCCAGGCTGAGGAGGCCTGGGAAATGGCCATCAGCTGTGGGGCTCCCTCCCCCTCCCAGTGGGAGAGAGGTGTCCATTGCTCCCCCCCATTAGTCTGTGACTTGGAAGTCTTGACCCTTGACCTTCATTAAGACCTGAGGACTCCCTGGCCTCTTTCAGCCCCAGATGTCTCACAGAGGGGTGTTGGATGCTGGCCGGACGTGGGGTGGCTAAGGTTAACCCCTCACTTCCATGATCAGAAGTCAGTCAGCCTTCCACCAGCCTCTGGCCAACAGCCTCCAACCCCTGCTCAGCTCGCCTCTGACTTGAAAGCCCCCCACCCTCCGCCCAGCCTCTGAGACCCTCCCCTGGCCTCTTCTTCACCTAGGCTGGCGCCATGCCACCCCCAGCAGAGGTGACAGACCCGTCCCATGCCCCCGCCGTTCTGCGCCAGCTCAATGAACAGCGGCTTCGTGGCCTCTTCTGTGACGTCACCCTCATAGCTGGAGACACCAAGTTCCCCGCTCACCGCAGTGTCCTGGCTGCTTCTAGTCCCTTCTTCAGAGAGGCCCTGCTGGCCTCAGCGCCACTGCCCCTCCCACCCATCCCTGGGGGCTCAGCCCCCAACCCCACCACCACCACAGCGGCCTCCTCCTCCTCCTCTTCCTCCTCTTCCTCCTCCTCTCCCTCTCCAGCCTCACCTTCAGCTTCATCCCCACCTCGGGTCCTGGAGCTGCCAGGGGTCCCAGCAGCTGCCTTTTCTGATGTCCTCAATTTCATCTACAGTGCCCGGCTGGCACTGCCTGGTGGTGGAGGGGACGGGGCAGCTGTGGCGGAGATCGGCGCTCTGGGACGGCGTCTGGGCATCTCCCGCCTGCAGGGCCTGGGGGAGGGGGGTGATGCCTGGGTGCCTCCTGCTCCAGTTCCCATGGCCACCTCACAGCCTGAGGAGGACAGCTTTGGGCCTGGGCCTAGGCCAGCCGGGGAGTGGGAGGGGGACAGGGCTGAGGCCCAGGGCCCTGACTCACAGCCTGCCTTGTCCCGGCGGCCCCTCCCCTGCCCCCGATGTGGGAAAAGCTTCATCCATCCCAAGCGGCTGCAGACCCATGAGGCCCAGTGCCGGAGGGAGGCCAGCGCTCGGGGGTCTGCAGGGCTGGGAGCAAGGGGTTCTGTCCCCAGTGGCCCTGCAGGAGTGGACGCCTCGGCCCTGCCCCCAGCGGTAGGCTTTCGAGGTGGTCCTGAGCACGTGGTGAAGGTGGTGGGCGGCCACGTGCTCTATGTGTGCGCGGCCTGTGAGCGTTCCTACGTGACCCTGTCCAGCCTAAAGCGACACAGCAACGTACACTCATGGCGGAGAAAGTACCCCTGCCGCTACTGCGAGAAGGTGTTCGCACTGGCTGAGTACCGAACCAAACACGAGGTGTGGCACACCGGGGAGCGCAGGTGAGTGCCCTGGATGGCCGGGGACTGGGGGTGGATGGGGGTGGAGAGGTCACATGGGACCTAGTCCACTCAGGGACCACATGGACAAGGGAGGGAATGGACAGAGCATGGGGCCCAGAAAGCCATTTTCAGATGCCTGCTCACCCACTGGGCCCTGCTCATCTGCTTTCTGTCACTCACCCTTCTGCCTCCCTCCAGCCCTGTTTCCTCCCACTGGTGTTTATTTATTAGCACCGCCAGGTGTCACGTCCTGGCTTGGTGATGTGGAAAAGGCCAAGGAGGAAACAGAAAGCTGCCTCTTGGGGCAGGACAGTAGGAAGCAGAGGCATGTCCATCTACAGTTCTAATGTACCCCTGTTGATAGGATACTTCCCCGTCTGTCAGGTGAGCTTCAGAAGGCGGCTTTGGGAGTTAGGCAAGGTACATGATTATTCCCAGTTCACAGATGGAACAGCTGAGGCCTGGCATTGCACAGCCAGTGGGGGACACTGAACTAGGACTGGTGTCCCTTCTGAGGCTGGCGGGGTGAGACAAGCAGCATGAGAGAAAGGTGAGCAGATGGCCGGAGCAGTTCAAGGTCTGAGCGGAGATAGGAGAAAAAATGGGAAGCTAAGGCCCTAGCCTCAGGGCCCCTGACTCAACTGGCTCTGTCCCTGCCCTGTTCCCTGGCCCAGGTACCAGTGCATCTTCTGCTGGGAGACCTTTGTCACTTACTACAACCTGAAGACCCACCAGCGAGCCTTCCACGGCATTAGCCCGAGTCTCCTGGCGAGTGAGAAGACGCCCAATGGAGGCTATAAGCCCAAGCTCAATACCCTCAAGCTGTACCGCCTGCTCCCCATGCGGGCGGCCAAGCGGCCCTACAAGACCTACAGCCAGGGAGCCCCCGAGGCTCCCCTCTCTCCAAGCCTCAACACACCGGCCCCTGTGGCAATGCCAGCCAGCTCACCACCCGGACCCCCACCTGCCCCAGAGCCTGGCCCCCCACCATCTGTCATCACTTTTGCCCACCCAGCTCCCTCAGTCATTGTACATGGGGGCAGCAGCAGTGGTGGAGCAGGGAGTGGGCCGGCCAGCACAGGGGGGGCCCAAGCTGCCTCAGTCATCACTTACACTGCTCCCCCAAGGCCCCCCAAAAAACGTGAGTACCCACCTCCTCCCCCCGAACCTGCAGCCGCACCAACCAGCCCAGCCACAGCAGGCAGCCCAGCCACAGCCGCAGGGCCCGCCACAGCCACGGAGGAGGCCAAGGGCCGGAACCCACGGGCCACGAGGACTCTGACCTACACGGCCAAGCCAGCTGGTGGGATTGGCGGGGGCACGGGTCCTCCTGCAGGGCCTGGCCGGGGCCCCTCTCAGCTCCAGGCTCCACCGCCACTGTGTCAGATCACTGTGAGAATCGGTGAGGAGGCGATTGTCAAGCGCCGCATCTCAGAAACAGACCTGCGTCCCGGGGAGCTAAGCGGCGAGGAGATGGAGGAGAGTGAGGAGGAGGAGGAGGATGAGGAAGAGGACGAGGAGGAGGAGGAGGAGGGGCAGGGGGAGTCCAAGGCTGGCGGAGAGGACCAGCTCTGGAGGCCCTACTACTCCTACAAGCCCAAGCGCAAGCCTGGGGCCGCGGCCCCGGCTAGCAGCGGGGGCAGCGGGATGCCCAGAAGCCGCCGGCCGCCTCGCTGGAGACAGAAGCTGGAACGGAGGAGCTGGGAGGAGACCCCAGCAGCCGAGGGCCCCACGGGGCGTGCCCGTGGCGGAGGAGGAGGAGGGGCAGGGGGAGTCCAAGGCTG